TTTGACTCTCCACGTCACTCCCCGACGTGGGTGTCCCGGAATTTCCCAGTCCCTTCTTTCGTGCCCGCAGCGTCTGTCCGGCGCCTTGGAAGCGTGATTTCTCCTCCTCAATAACACGACCCTGCTCGTCGCGTTTCTGGAGGGGCTTGATGGCATACCCAAAGAAGAGCTTGTTTGGTGGCAATCTCAGCGGTTGAGGACCATTCGTCCTTCTTGTGGGAGGAGGGTGCTGGGGGTTGGTTGAACTGCCCGCAACCGGAGTGGTTGCCTGCGGCGTTGGCGCCTTGCTGCCCTTCTTCGCGTTCAGACGATGTCCAGTCGAGAGGAAGTTCGACGAAACAGCTTTGGCGCCTTTCGTTACATCGTCAGACTCGGGAGCGATGGCCGCGTAGTTGATGGCTTGGGCCATGGTCCCATGAGAATGAACCACCCCTCCCGGCGGAGCTGCGCCACCCGTTGCCACGCTCCGGGGTGTGCTGGTGCCGCTTGTTCGCATGGATTCCTCATAGCCTACAGGGGGCGCGAAATCCACCTCGAGATCCGTTTCCAGGACCGAGATGGCATTCTTGTCATTTTCCGGCTTGGTATCTAACACGGCCATCTCGTAGATCTGGTCGTTGTATGAAAACGTAAATACATCGCCCTTGGTGAGACAGGAGAAGTTACGGAATGCGTTCTCTAGCACTGCTTTGGGGTCGCTGATATCGAGGAAGGAGGTCGACTGCGGCTGAAGCTTGATAAAACGTCCGGGCGGGAGATCGGTCGACTTGACCTGGACGAGGTCGCCCGGCTCGAGAAGAAGTGTTTGCATCAACTGTCATCGACAAAACATCGTTAGGTTCGGCCGTCATCACACCAGTAGTGATACAGTAGCATGCATACCCAGAAAGGCAGATAGATTTTCCCCTCCTCTGCAATAAACTCCAGCACGCCCGCGTGCGTCATTCTTCCCCTGGCCCCATTGTGCAGCTCAAAGAGCATCGGGTACGTGATGTGTAGCCGTGTCAGCTTATCCAGAGCGCTGGGAGGCATGATGACCTTGCCGCCATGGTTGAGGTTCTCCCTCTCGGGCCCTGGCATCATCGCAACGGGATAGCAGCGGTAGTATTCGTCGAAGCGGCGAGTGGTGGCCCCGTAACGCATGGCGGCGCCCAGCACTCCATCCATGGGATCTGTTTCCCAGAACTCTGAGCGGAACTGGTCACATATAATCAGCGAGGATACACATGATGGGAGAGCAGTGCATGAGCTGTACCATGGTGGCAGGACTCTTCTCTCACTCAGTGCGTCTGAACTGGGTGCGGGGAGAGGGTTCGAGTGTCCGACAAGAGAGAAGTCGCGTAGGGCTTCTCGAGTCTAGATGAAACTGGAACTGGACCAACAGAACCGAACCATGTGACAGATGACTTAGGCTTCAGAATTATCCAGCCTGATTAAACGGGGTGTCTGTTCACATGGGCGTGTTGTGAAGGAGCGCGCGCCGTCTGCGGTGACGCAAGTCCAGCAATGAGCTAAGCTCCTCCATGATTTTCCGACCCGACCCCGGACTCGTCTTCCACGGTCAGCAGAGGGAACACAGCACTTCTCTAGCGCAGAACAGTCCATCTTGTTGCCACAATCCATCTCTCACGTCTTATGCGAATTTGATTCACCCAACGTGAACCATGTCGAGGCCTTCCGTGCGCCCCAAGCGTGCGGGCGAGGACTTTACGCGCACTCTCCACGGCGCAGCTGGTGAAGACGGCGACGGTCCATCGTCCTCCAAAAAGCCCCGATTTGACCTGCGAAACCCAACTGAACTAGCTCCCGATGCCCTGGAGGAGGATGATATCCTGGACGCCGACGAGATCGGTCGCGGGCGACGCGTACGGCGTAACGCAGTCAACATTGATGGGTACGAATCCGACAGTGAAAATGAAGCCTTTGAGGCGCGAGCGGAAGCCAGGGCAAAGGCCAACCAGCAGCAAAAAAATCAAGAAGAGCAAGATGACGACATGTTCGCAGAGCTAAAGGAGGACTTTGAAGAGGCCGATGCGGACGAGTCGCGGAAGAAAAAGAAGAGTGTTCGTTTCTTGCGGGACGAGGAGATCGAGGGCCAAGTCGAGTCCTCACGGGGTGGACACAAACTCCGCGCAGACCTGAGCCGACCAGACGTGGTGGAAGATAATGACAAGGAGAGCGATAGTGAAAGCGATGTCCCCGACGAGGAGCGCGCACGGCTAGACGAAGGCATGGACGAGGAGTTGGGTGCTGGCTCAAAGAAGAAGAACGCGCCGCTCTTGGATGCCTTCAACATGCGTGCAGAGCAGGAGGAAGGCCGCTTCGATGAAGAGGGGAATTACATACGCAAAGCGGCTGATCCAGACGCGATCCACGATACCTGGTTGGAAGGAGTCTCGAAGAAAGACATCAAGCGGGCTAGAGAAGCAGCCGCAAGGAGAGATGCCGAACGACGAGAAAAGGACCGAGAAACCGACAGCATCCTGACCTCGGATCTACTGAGGACCCTGATCACCCACCTTGAGCGGGGAGAAACGGTCCTGGAAGCGCTGGCCAGACTGGGGAAGGGACTTAAAAAGAAACCCAAATGGCAGACCAAGCAGAGGAACAAGCCCAAATCGAAAATGAACGGCACCAATGGGGCGGCCGAAGATGTCGAGATGACCGAGGACAACCCCGAAGAAGCTGCCCGCAAGAAAGCTATCGACGAGATCACCGGCGCTGCCGACCTTCTCCTCACCCGGGGCCAGTCAGACATCTACGAGGTCGAGAGGGAAACGCTGACCCGACAATACCGTCGAGAGACCGGAGAGGAATGGGTCGATCCTCCACAACTCACCACCGGCAACGGGGAAGACAACGTTGGCGATGGCACAGGGGCACCAGGTCCAACAATGTGGGAATTCCGCTGGTCAGATGCCCGCGACGGCGGCCAAACGCACGGTCCCTACGACAGCGCGATGATGCAGTCGTGGCGCGACGCTGGATACTTTGGCGAAGGCGTCGAATTTCGGAGAGCGGGCGATCCCACCAGTGAATGGACTCGTGTCGCCACTTTCACATAGACACATGTCTATATGTGTACAGTAGTATACGTGACGATTTTCTTTTCTTTTCTTTTCTTTTTTTATTTTTACTAATTTCCGTCCACGAATAATAGACTTTTGAACAGAGCTACGCAGAGGTATGAAACTTGAGCGAATTGTATTTCTGTAACAAAAAGAAACACACAACCCAGATAGATATCACAACCATTGGTAGAGAAAACAAGTCTCACTAACGCGCCGGCCATATTGTACATCATGTGTATGGAAACTAAATCGAGAACATTAAAGGAAAGGTAAGAGGGTAACGTTAACTTTTTGTAAGCCAAGGCACAGCTTCCCGTTCTAACTCATGACAAGAGAGAAGTTTTAGCATATCTAGGAGATGGGTGACCTCAAAGCAAGCTAAGTAAACATTCTCATTACGAGATCTCCATGGCGTCACCGTTGGTGTGGGAGAGGCTCACGTCGCCGGCGTCGCCGATGAACCGCTTCTCGAACTCGTTTACGAATTTGACGCTACGCACGGGGTCATAGAATAGCCGGTAGCTGCGCTGGATGTCATCGATGCTGACTTCCTTGCCTTTTCGCTTCTCACAGAGCAGCTGCGACGTCGTGATGATGTTGCTTGCATATCGCAGACCGGACTCCTGCCCGATCTTGGTCAACAAAGCCAGCGCGTCCGGGGACAGCTCGACCTCTTCCTCTTGCGCGCGAATCGCCAGAATCTGTCTGATCTCGTCTGCTGTGTAAGGCTGCGTGCTGACAATGACCACGCGGTCCAAGAAGTCGAGCGGGAGACCATGCGGCGAGCGGTACGTGGTCCCTCGGATCCGTGTGTGGCCGCGATTGCTGGCCATGATGACGATCGGCGCGAGCTCAGCCTCCAATGCGCGGTTGATGTAGGAAAAGCACTCGATGTCAAGCATGTGCACCTCATCAATGAACAACACACCAGGGATGATCTCAGCCTTGCCCTCTTCTTTCCATTCGGCCACCTTGGTGTTGATCTGATCCCGAACTTCACTCCGGATCTCGCCCGTGTCACCAGAGAAAAGAGCCAGGAAGCCTTGGGTTCGCGAGTTGATCACATCGATCTCATGTAGACTGACGGTATGCACAATCTCCTTGCGAACCTGCAGCTCGCCCTCCGGACACTGCACGAACTTGGCGTCTGGGCCCATGGCGTCGTAGTCACGCGACCGAGCGTAGGAACGACCAAGCTTGGTGATCTTGCCGGACGACTTGTCGATGGAAATTACATCTCCTGCCATGACGCGCTCTCGGGTCATCGAGTCGATCATCTTGGTCCCCATATCGTAGATGGTCTCCATGTCGGTGGTCTTGATCGTGAGCTTCCCTTGTTTGTTGCCCTGCATGCAGTCAGCAAAAGTATGCTATGACCGGACAGTGAGCAGGTAAAAAAAAATTATTTGCATACCCCAGTGACGCTGCGGTCAATCTGGATCTCCACCACTTCTCCCTCGATGATCTCGCTCTCTTCCTTGATTCGCACCCCGATCGATTTGCGAAAGGCTTGCGTCAGAGCTTCTGTCTTGGACATCTCCAAAGAGAAAATTTCCGACGAGGCAAGAGTGGTGAAAGGGACATCGGGACCTAGCGCTTGAGCCATGCCCATTGCGATCGCCGTCTTGCCGGTGCTGGGAGGACCTGCGATGAGGACGGCGCGGCCGGCGATCTTCCCTTCCTTGACCATTTGCAGGATCACGGCCGCAGCCTTACGGGCCTTCTCCTGGCCGACAAGGCCTTGGGAGGCTGCCCGTGGCTGTAATGTGTCGGCATCGACGCCAAGGCCTCTGATGTGGGAATGGGCAGCGATCAGATTGAGGCCTCGGAGCTCCTTGCTCTCTGAGATGGTGGAAATGGGCTGTATTCACGGTTAGCTGGGAGATGGGAACGCACAGGCGTCTCAGGGTCGACTCACAGCAGTCATCGTGACCGAGGGAATAGAGGAGCTCTTGCAAAATGTCCAAATCACCAAGATCGCCTGAGGGCTGCTCGGATTTGATGCCTGTCGATGTCTTGAAAAGCTTCAGCTCTGCGAAGGCGGGTAACGAGGAGGCCGCACTGACCGCCTTGCCGACCGCCCGGCAGAATCCGCAAAGTAATTTTCTTTATCAGAAGCGACAACACGCGGTCGGCGGTGAATGCGCGTGTTTGCCAGCGTTCGTGTATTTCCCTGATGGAGATTCCATCTTTCACCATTCTAGGTATCTGGGTGACTTCTAGGTGAGCTGGGACTGTGTTTGGGGCTTCCTTTCGCCTCCACTGTCGTCCCACATTGCTGTCCATGCATGCTAATCTGGATGCCGCTCCTGAAAGCAGCCCGCATGTCAACGTCCACCGCTGGGCCACGATCCCATGTGATCAACACGTTATCGCCTCTAAACCAGACGTGTTTCTGACTATATCGTCTTCCGCCGTCTAATGCTCCCCTCTCACCTATCCGTCGCTCGCAGTTAGGATTGTACTGTGCTTAGTCATCACCTGCAGGACGCACAGTATAATATCCAACTAGGGAGCCAAGATGGGCGAACCCTCCGCACCGCCAGGTCCAAGACTGGATCAGAACAGATTAGACGGCTGGCCAAAGGACCAGTCTATTACAACGACTTCACCGAACCGTGATCCTCGCCTTGCTTTACGCCCACAAGCCACATCGGATGACAGCAGGCCCCCGCCAAGTGGTCCACCTCCAGGTGGCCCACCTGTTTCTGGTTCAGTGTCGAGGTCCTTTGAGAAAACATTTATCGAGTCTCTCGGACAGTTGACGATGGAAATTGTTGCCATCGCTAATGCGCAGGACGAGCATGCAAAATTGAAGAAGGCTCAGGCCATACTACAGGACCATCGCGAAAAATCCAAAAATGTGTCTCAATTTCCGTCCACAGTGGCAATCTTTGAACAGCAGAGAAAGGAATATGCTCAGGAGCTGTCTCGGGTTGAACAAAAAATTGAGACGCATCGTCGTCAGCGCAAGGCCCTAGAAGATATGGTTATGACCATGGTCAACGCCCATTTTAAACGTGGCTTTGTGCCTGACGAGAAGCTCGAGCAAATCCATAGTGATGCTAAGAGCGCACTCGCAAGCGCCGAAGATTTAAAGAAAGAGGTATCAAGAATGAGGAATGAGATGGAAACATTGAAAGCGGCCCAGGATGATGCCAAGAAGGTAGACCAACGAGTAAAGGAAGTCTCGGCCCTTGCTGCATCTCACACCCAGAACGTTCTAGATCTGGAGAGCAAGTCCTCTCGATTGAATGATCAACTCGGGAGTCACACCTCTGAACTAGAGAAGTTTTCTACGCACGCACGGGAACGACTGGATAAGCTGGAAAAGGAACAATCGTGGTTGAAGATTCTACCAGACATGCAAGGAAACTATGAGGGCCTTAAAGGGCAAGTTAACAAGGTCCAAGCTGTCACGGACCAGCTCCAGTCCACGACGAAAAATCGCATTCCGCATCTGGATGAGCGGCTGAGTCGGATAGAAAACTCGGCAGCATCTACGGAAGCTGTCAAGAGGGCTGAGGATGTCGTCGAAGATGTAAAGGGGCGCATTACCGCTCTCGAGGGATCTATATCGGCGAAAGCTTCTGACAGTTATAAAGGCGCTCTCGAAGGTATTGAGAATCGTCTGAAAGTTCTCGAAAATATCAAACCACCCAGTTCCGTTGCGACGAATCAATATGATCAGTCCTTGCGTGAGTTGCAAACCGGGTTCGATCGTTTGAAAGCCTGGGTCGATCATTTGGATAAACTTTTCAAAGAGATGTTGGACATGAAAAGTCTGGAAGAAGACTGTAAATTGGCGGCCATAGAAGAAGCGGAGAAAAAATTGAAGGATACGTTGAACCCTTTGGTCGACAATGTCAAAGATGATTGCAACAAAGCGGTGCAACGGTTGGAAGCCTCAATAGAGTCGCAGAAAGAGGAACTGGACAAACAATTGAAGCTCCAGAGCCAGTCCATCGAAGGCTTGCGAGAGACCGTTGAGCGTCATGGTTACGAGGACGAAATTCACAAGGCCATAAAGGAGTCAGAGCAACGGTTGGAAACCAGATTAAAACCGATGATCAACAAGACTAATGAAGACGCACAGCAGTTGAAAGCCTCGATAGAGTCACAGGTATCTGACCTGGACAAACGTTGCAAGGACCAAAGCAACTCCTTCGAGGGCCTGCGAGCGGATATCGAGCGTCGCGATAGCAGGCTGCAGACAGTCGAGACAGCCATTGTCTCACTGGAGACTCGCTACAATCATTTGACCACGGAACCTATCGTTCGGCAGGCGGTTTCAGTGATTCAGGACATCTATCCATCTCCCCAGACCTTGCAGGCGGTGCAGAATCAGATTTCGGCACTACAAACGCAGGTCTCTCAAATCAATGTCCCAGATGTCTCCGGGCTTTCTACCCGCCTGGATTCTCTTAATTAGCTCCACATGAACCTCACTGAGGAAGTGCGTAACAATCATACATATTGCACAAACGAGTGCCGGCGTCTGGCAGAACAACACGCTTCGGTGCTCCAACAGGTCGAGGGGCAGCAGCACAAGCTCGATAATGAAATTTCGCGTCTGACCCAAGACATTGCCGTAGCAAAAGAGGGACTTGGCTCCTTGGAGAAAAATATACCATCCGAAGAAGAGACGAGACGAGCAATTCTCCAGGAAGTGAACCAGGAGTGGGATCGTGTGACCGAAAAGATCAAGTCTCTTGAGAAGCAGTTGGATGAAGCTCGAACTCAGACGACAGATAGCCTGAAAGCGCTGGAAGAGAAGATTCAGTCTGCGAACTCGGCCGAACTCGAAAAGGTGTTGGAGCAGGTTCGTGAGATGAAAGGATCCCTCAGCAATGAGATCCAGGACGTCGCGAATCGACTTGACGATTTCAAGGAGACGAGCCGAAAAGATGTCGAGGACGCGATCGCACGGCTGGGGGAGCTTGAACGGGCCAAGGAAGAGCTCGTCGAGCGCCTGGCATCTGAGCCAGAGTCCTTGGCACTGCGACCGATCAAGGCTGAATCACGCCAACCGTCTGAAGTGCCGGACGACGTTCCCCCGGCCACGGAGGATCCGCCGCTGCCCAGTCCTGTGGACGTTAATGAGGCTGCAAAGCATAATGATGCAGAGAAGAAGAAGAAGAAGCGCAAGTTTAATCACAGCGCCTTGATATCCGACGAGGCAAGCGCCACGTCCTACACTCCTTCGGTCCGGTCTTCTCCTGTTCCAGAAGAGGGATCATCCCAGCTGAGCCGGAGCGAGAAGAAGCACAAGAGGAAAAAGCGCAAGAAGAAGCACTGGGTGTCCGGACCACCGGCGGTGATCACACTGGATGATTAGGTGGAAGAGCACAGCATTAATTTTTATACCTAGCGTGCATGATTCTAGGCGTTGTGGGATTTATTGGGCCAGGGCATTGGGCTAATTCGACCTTTTACAGACATGACAGGACATATCACGGGAATTTTACTGGGAATATCCTCCGTGAGGATGGGATTTACTTGTTGGTTCGAGGGTTAAGCCAGTTGGCAGTGACAGCAACAGGACTTAGTGTTGCGCTGCATCTATGGCTAACCCTCTACCTCAGCTCGCTGTTTTCACGCCATGGCTAGAGTCTGGATAGCTATCTGCTAACTAGGTTATGGGAATATGCAGCCCTTTGTCTGAGAGGGTGTGAAAGCAGTGATGCTGACTGTACAGCTTCCCACCTTCGATTGCAGATATTAGTTTTAATCAGAATACATAATTAGTTGTGTTGCTGTATCTGCCTGTATATAATTTTTTTCTTAACTACTAAAATATCCAGATCTAATATCAGATGTGCTGACATAATATCAGGATTCTGCTCCAATTATTCCGTAAGCGGATAATCCTGACAGGATTCGGGCATATTTCCTCCGAGGACCGAAGCAACATAGCAACGAAGAAATACTTAACGCAGCAATAGTCTCGTCAATGAAGCTAACTGACCAACTCCGCAACATGAGGGGAGCGCAGATTCAAGTCCAAATGCCACTGCCCAGTCAGATTGATCATCGAGGTGTGCCAACCCGTATTAGCGGCGAGCTACAGCAGACAGTCGGTTAGCACCCGCTGGGAATCTACCAAAAACAGCAAACGGCCTGATCAGTTATTTCGCCTAGCTGCATACATGGACGGAGTACGGAGTATTATTAGAGATCGAATGAACATATTATTCCCCCGGATCGACATGGCAGGCGGGGTAATAGGATGTGGGGAAAACAGCATCTGGTTTGTCTACATATAGACAGTTGACTCGTGGGGAGTGCATACAATACGATGGCGCGTTGGGCAAGGCATTTGTTTATCTGTTATTGTGAACATGGGGCCGTATAGAACTGCTGTCGTGGCTGCACTAATATCCTTCTTCACCAGCCAGGGTGCAACTGCACAGACAACATTTTCTACCTCCCATTTCACGGGGATTCTCGCTGCCGGGTCTGGTGTGCTGCAGTCATTGCAGCCAAAAACCAGCACTCCGTTCGACTTCTCGCCTTCCGATGTGTTCGACAAGAGAAACTCCAACGGCAATTACCACACCGGCGACTTGACTCTGCGGTATCGGGTCGGGAGTTCTCCAGACTGGATCGATGTCGACACAGCAGCGCACCGCACCAACCTTTCGTCCGTGCCGTCCAGCCAGCCTGGCGTCATCCAGTCGTCTCGCGTGGCTGCCGCCGCTGGCGGTGACCTTTCGATCATTCGAACCTGGTTCGAGTACGAGGGCGATCTGGCGTTGAACTTCACGCTGCAAAACGTCCGCTCGGACGAGGCCATTGAAGTCGGCAGCGTGGGCTTTCCGCTGGAATTCAACACCATCTTCACAGGACGTAGCGCGGTTGAGACCAGGGAGAAGTGTGTGCTGGTCGACCCTTTCATCGGCCTGGACGCCGGATATGTCCAAGTAACCCGACTGCTTGGAGTTGGACCGCATCTGGTGGTGACTCCTCTGGGCAATCTTACGAAACTGGAGGCGTGGAGGTTCCTGCCAGAACCTACGAACACGTCGTTGCGCTACCAAAGCCAGACGTTTGAAGGAAACTATGAATGGCAGGTCTACACAAAGGCCTACTCAGAGCAGGAATGGCGGGCAGTTGTTCCGTGGAACGAGCCCACGTCTCTCGTGCTCGAGCCGAGACAGCAGGTCTCGTTTGGCCTGAGATTCACGACGGTCGCGTCGGTGGATGAGATTGAGGGCACAGTGTCTTCGGTGGGCCGGCCAGTGGCGGTGGGGATTCCAGGCTATGTCCTTCCAAAAGATCTGACCGGGCAAGTCTTCATCAACAGTGCCTCCAATGTGTCATCGATCGAGGTATACCCACGGGGTGCCCTGTCAATCACGCCGATGGGCGAATCTGGGGGTCCCTGGATGAGATTCGGCGTCTCACCGTCGCCCGACGTCTTCGGTCGATCCAGAATCGAAGTCGTGTACGACAACGGGATGAGGCACAGCCTGCATTATTACATTACGGAGAGCGGACCCGAGTCTCTGGCCCGGCTGGGGAGATTCCTTTCTGAAAGGCAATGGATCTCGAACATGTCGGATCCCTTCGGTCGGATACCGTCGATTATCACCTACGATCACTCGGTCAACAACTACGTTCTGCAGGAGAATAGGACCTGGCTTGCCGGACTGAGTGATGATGGAGGTGCGGGCTCATTTGAAGCCGCGGCCGTGAAGCAGACTGTTCAGCCAGTGGCACCGGAAATCGCACGACTGGAGGATTTTGTGAACAAAACGGTCTGGGCCAACCTGCAGGTGACGAACGGCACCGACAAATACGGTGTCCGGAGGAGCCTGTTTTTCTACGAGCCTGACGTTGTCCCTGGATATTCGTACAACCCGTCATTCAACTGGACGGGGACTTTTAACCGGACGACGGCCTATCGTGTCGACCGGGCGTATAACTACGTGCATGTATCGGCCCTGTACTGGGCATTATACCGTGCTGGCCGGATCGCACCGGGGGCACTGTCGAAGCAGACTCCGGAGTGGTATCTGCTACAATCTTACGAGACGTATTTCCCCATGTCTTATGTTGTAATTGTGTAGCTATACTGACTCCTGCTAGGGTCTTGTTCGCCTTTGGAACGCAACCCGACGGGTCGAACAACACGCTCTACAACGACGCAGGGCTCATGGGAGAGACGGTATGGGCAGAACTGCTCAATGACCTGCGAGCCGAAAACTTCACATCGGAAGCCACCAAGCTCGAGTCGATCATGAAAGAACGCTCTCAGTATTGGTCCACCCAAGCAGACCCGTATGGAAGCGAACAGGCGTGGGATTGCACGGGGCAGGAAGGTGTCTATCTTTGGACGAAGTGAGTCGCAGGATAGTCATCTTGCGCTGAGCATTAGCTAAGCTTGATAGGCGGTTTGGATACGTAGGCACGGTGAACAAGACCATCGAGTCTATACGCGGGTACATGCCTACTGTTGCGCACTGGGGGTGGAATGGCAACGCACGGCGGTACTGGGATTTTGAGTGCGTGCTGTCTGGTCCCTCCCATTCTGAGGAAGCGTGCTGACTGTCTGTCACAGGACGGCTGGGAAATACAGTCGCATTGAGCGCCAGATCCACCACTATGGGTCAGGGCTGAACGCTCTGCCGATGCTGGCGAACTACCGGGCTTCACCCTCTCCAAGCTCTCCTGCCAGCTTCTACGACTTGCGCGTCGGATACGGTGGTCACCAGGGGCCGTTGACCAACATTAGATCAGACGGGTTCGCGTCCATGTCGTTCCACTCCTTCCCCGAGACGCTCGAATGGGACCCGTACTCGGGCGACTACGGCCTCAGTTTTCTCGGCCACGTCCTCGGCGCAGCGACCTATCTAGTCGAGCACCCGACATGGAGCTGGCTGAGTTTCGGGGGCAACGTCGTCTCAGTCAGCGACGACGCGATCACCGTGCAACCGCGAGACTCGGTGCGAAGGAGGATCTACATCGCGCCGTTAGGCTTGTACGTCAGCATCGACGCGGGTGCCATCACCGAGTTCACATTCCACCCGCAGAGCAGCCAGTTAACGCTGCAACTGGTCGACGTAATCAGCGGGACGGGGGCAGAGCCCGCGCCGAGAGCGGTGGTCCGATACGAGAAGACGGCCGACGTGCCTGGAGCGGTAGACATGAAGCTGGCAAGCGGAGCGACAAGAAAGACCCAAGATGGGAAGGGCTACGTGGTGGAATTCAAGCAGGGTAGGGCTTCTCTTACGTTTTCCAGAGCGTAGAAAATCCTGCTTTGATGAGTAGCAAAATATATTTATCTTCCTCTGGAGGGTGTACCTGAGACATTTCTAGGCAGATTAGATATCTAAATCCATAAACAAGTTCCAAGTTCATCAAAGGTTTCTCTTTCTATATCTCTCTCTATTGTTTCGATAGTAATACAATACGATTAATTAATGAACGTAATGACTGTATGTACATACAGCAAGAAGTAGTAAGTAGTAGTAGTGAAGTAAGTAAAGAAAAAAAAAAGAGAGAGAGAATAAGTAGCTAAATTAGAATAAAAGTACACTGTTATAATATGCAATTCCCATATAAAACAGACGAAAAAGAAAAAAAAATCAACTTATCTATCAGTCGGTCCATCTATACTGCATGGCATGGATAAATAAACAAAACAAAAGTAAACAAAACAAAAGACTGGTAGAATCTCTCCACTCACTCCACCCCCTTCACAAACAAAACTCAACTGAACTCTATAGTTATAGGTCTATAGTATGAATGATACAATACATGATATAAAACAAAATATAAAAATCTAAAGTATGAAAACATAATAAACGATAAATAATAAATGATAAATGCTATGAAAGCCAGACTGCGCAGTGGATGATATTCGTCGTCGTCGTTGTCGGGTCATTTCGTTTCTTTCACTCGATGTTGTTCTCTTGGAAGAATTTCACGACGGCTGTGAATGGAATGGATATCGTTGTTAGCATCAATCAGCACCATCAGATCAACATACGAAAAAAAAAATTCCTAGTTAAATCGAGGGCACATACCACTCCGAAACGCCTCCGGATTCTCCGAAATCAGCCAATGCCCCGCCTCGACATCAGCCACCTCTGCCCTGGGGAAAAACCGCCTGATCGCCGGCCTCGCCGAGTCCGGGACGTAGGTGCTTCTCGTACCGCGGATGAACAGCGTGGGGCCGTCATATCGTACCTGATGGTGCTCGTCCGCGAACGGGAAATCGGCCATGTTGTCGAGCGCGGAGCCGAGGATGGTCAGCGGGACGCGGAATTTGAGAACGTTGTCGTCCGAAGAGCGGATTAGGTTGGTGAGGAGGAATTGGCGGACGGGAGGGACTGCACATATGCAATTAATTAATTGGCTCAGCTTGCCATCATCTTTTTGCTTACCTCCTCATACTCCTGCATAATCTTATCCGCTTCACTCTGCTTCGTCACTTTGGCAGCCTCGATATGCTGCATGCCGCGGACGTAGCGCGCAAAGTCCGAGCCCAGTTTCGCACGGACGGGGGCGTTGTCGATGGGAACGAGGCCGGTGACCAGCTCAGGAGAGCGCAGCGCGACGGTCATTGCTGTTTTGGCGCCCCTGGTCGTGATCTGTTAGAAGCTGGCTAGGTAAGGTATATTTACCAATATAAAGTTCGCTAGGTGATATACATAGAATGGCCAAACAGAACGGCCTTTTCTAGCCCGTGTTGCCGGATAAAATTCTCGACATCTTCGGCCATGACGGTGTAG